TTATCGCGATCGAATGAAATTATTTAAAGATATGCAACAATACGAAAATTTAAAAATTCAAGGATCTCTTTAATCGAACGAATAACACCTGCGAATCGATCAATAAATTGCATTGCAAAAATTGAATGGAAATTACAATATCCACATAATGATACTCATATATAATTTTATAGAGGTCTAGGTAAAAAGATTGTCGGATCGGGCAGTAATGGAACACCGTGAAACGTGCGAACATTCCTTCCTATCATCGAGAATTTTAACGCGATATTTCCATGAAAAGTTTCATTTCTCGCGGAACAAAACGAATCGTAAATCCACGATGCGTTTTACGCAACTATTAAAGCGCGTTATGACTCGGGTTATCCTTTTTTTACGAGGTATTAAGAGCTTATTCAATTCGAATGTATTTTTCATTCCTTCCCCAGAAGGAATATTGGTTAAGTAACGAAACTTGTATCTGCCATTCAATATTGTCCGGTATATACGCGATCCAAAGGGGCACTAAAAGTCATGAGAAAGGAACAATCGAATGCACAGGCTCGTGTACACGTGCAGATATGATTGAATTGTTTATGAGCCGGAGAAGAATGAGCTTGGTGCGCGCATGGTGTAGCAGCATGCAAGAATTTAACGTGGAAGTAGTAGTTAAATATCCGAGTCGGTGATCGAGGTAATGTTAGAAATGCTATATGATGTTACGAAGTAATAATTTTTGCCAACTTTATAGCTTTATGAAGAACGATTAACCTGTCTTCTTTTGCAGCAGGTATTTTCCATCTTTTTTTTTTTTTTTCTTTTCCTTTCCTTTCCTTCTTCTACTTTTTCCCCACATTGGTCGAATTATTTCCACAAGTTAAACGTTAATACTTTTACGAAATTCAACAACTCTATAACGTCAAATGATATTCTCAGATTCTTGTAATTTTCTTCCTCCAAGTTCAAAATATAATAATGCAGGACCCTTTCCGTTTCATATTTCAATGGCATTCATAAATACCTTATTCGAGCGCATGAATGCCCCATCAACAACACCTTTACCTTGCATCCCTCTATTCCTATAGCGTGCCTATATCGCACACCGTCAGTAATAAGTATAAATACTTTTATAACCATAATATCTCAGGCTGTGCAAGAGATTTCGTTCTGTGAGATATGGCGATTGTGCGCTGGTTATACACGCGTAAACCTATATAAGCCACGAGGAAGGGGCGTATTACAATACACACCCCTGCAGACAGGTTTGACGTCTCCGCGAAATATACTATGAAACCAGCCCTTTCTTACGATGTTATCGTTAACGCGTTGCATTATCATACGTTACACGAGTCCCAGAAACCAATCACTTCTTTATTTTCTCTGGAGAAAAAAATTATTCGTGTAGTTTCTTAAAATCTCTATCGTTAAAACTTTACCAACATTTTTAAATTTATTTAAATAAAAAAGAAAAGGAAAAATTATTTTAACATAATCGTTACATAGCTTTATATAGAAGATTCTTATTTTAACGTATCTCATAAATTTATACATTCATTCTCAATATTCACTTTCCATTTAATATCAAAATTTTCTTCAATTCTTCTAAGAAATATCCGTTCGTCAAAATCTGTCCCCTCTTAAAAGAAATAATATCTCAAAACACGGTTGTTGATTATTCACCAATAAATAACGAGCCGTGTTGAAGTATAATATACGTTATGTATTCGACGACGAACGAATTTGTCCGAAGACGCACGACTTCTCCGATGTTTACCTTTCGACCGAGCCGACGAAACACAAGGGACGGTCGTACGAGTCGAGTCAGTTCCTCAAATTGCGTCGTCACCATCGAATTAACCTACGAAATCCGCTCCATCCAGAATCGTATATCTCGTTTTAATGGCGGCCAGTCGCATTACTCGCGAGCAGAAACGTTGCCGTGTACGTTGCTGCACCATCGCCGCTCTTGTCTCTGGCTTTCTGTGTACCTTGGCATCGTACACAACGAAACTCGATACCCTCGACTCGTTTCGAGACCGATCAAACAACTCGGCGAAGAGAGAAGTGGAAAAATCGGATTACAACGAACATTGGCCGAGTATCGAGGAAACGACCCCCTGAGAAGTGCCGTTCCACGAGTACACGTCCAGGTATGGACGTTTTACACACAAAGTCCCACGGTGATCGACTGTGTTTCGTATAACAGAGACACTTTTCTTTCTTCTTCTTCTTCTTCTCCTACGTGCGTTGAGATTGCGTAAGAAATAGAGAGAAAGAGAGAAGAGGTGTAAGGACAGGATCCCACGTCGTCATGTTTGTTTTCTGAGTTTTTTCGTGCGCGTTAGATTTCGTGCGCGCTTCGAAATGCGACATTGACTCCTCGTTTTTCAAGGTTTCCGTTCGAGGTGTTATTAAAATTATCGTTTCGAAATAGAAGAGGCGTAGACTTGTATTCCGCGAGTTAAATTTTGCACGTTGTGTTGTGGGATATCGCGAAAGTACTTTCTCGCTGAAACTATCGAATCCTTTATTTTATTTCATAAATAAAGAACAATGATCTCTTACGCAACAAACGAGTGAACAACACGCATGAAAGTAGAAAAAAAAAATCACTGTAACGAGACTTTCCAACTTGCTAACTAACAACGGGGGAAAATATTTTCTGTTCCAGGTAAGAGCGACCATGGTATTTCCTCATTGCATGGATTTCCCTTTGATGCGACGGTAATCAACTGCGCATTATCAAGGAGCGTACGCGACATTCCAGGTGAAAATATTTCCAATCATCCTTACCTATCCTCCCGTTTCTCCGATTAACCATATTTAAAAATAAAAAATTCCAAAACCATTCGCATAAATTCACCAAGATCGTCGAGAGATTGCAAATGGCGGCGAGTCGAGCAGAGGGCGACACGGATTATTTCCACGACGCCATGCGTGTGGCATCGATTATTCCTAGCACACATCCGTTAATTACGCGTTAATGATCGCGTAATGGATCTACCATTTGCTCCAATTTCGAATATTTTTCGAAAATGGACTCGTAAGTTCGTAATTGCTCGAAAGGGCCAAGAATGCAGTTACGTCGGTTTTTGCAATATTCGACTCGACCTTGTAGCGACATGCTCGTTGTCCGATTTCGACACGTGGACAATTATCACGTGTGAAACTTATGGGGCTACCGTTGCGACATTGCGAGAAGGAAGCCCTTGATTATGATGAGAAGACGTTTATGGACTCGAACCTTGTGGGTACGTGCGATGGGGATTGTACGTGTGTCGATTGCGACAGGTATTGTTCTGGGATAATGGAGCGTAAATTGGGAATGTTGTAAAATTTAACGCGGATAAGTTTCGAAATGGAGAATATCGTAAAATTCGTGTGGATTAAATAGGGATTAGGAATTAGAAATGTAAAATTCGATGTAGATATGTTTTCGGTAGGTGTGGATGTAGAGAATTGGAAGTCTTGTAATTGTTTGTGGACACGTTTGGGTACAGGTGTAAATTAGGAAGTTATTGCAAAATTCTATTCGGCGTAGATAGTTTTTAATTGATAAGACATGGTAGGAGTTTAGAGATGGTTGGAAGAAATTCTGCGGAGAACGTGACACAGGTGATTTGTAGAATCTGATATCGAAGATCGTTAACTGTGTCTTATTTACGGATTTCTAGGGAATCCGTAAATAAATTCGAGATTCGTGGGATTCGAGAGACATGTTCGGATTCGTAAACCTTATAAAATAAACGTAACTCGTTACAAATTTTTTGTAAACCAATTATCCTTTGAAACGAAAGAAATATATTTCTTCCTTATCTCTCTTCCTTAAACTTCGTCTTTCCGCGAAAAGTTTTCGTATTTAAACGCATTTAGATACGATGCGACGACAAGAGAAAGTATTAACAATCGATATCGAAACGTTGAATCGTGTTAATCGTCGAACCGATTTCCCCGATAGATCCACGGCGTGATCGGATATCGGTGGCGATAATTGTGTCGTTTCCAAACTGGTCGCATGCCTACACGTATGGGATACGTATGGCGTTCCTCTCGACGAACGAGGCCACAGATTTACTCTCTTACGATCGTAAGAATTCTCCAAGACCGTATAAAGTCGGGTACGAGACTGTGGGGTGGCATCGAGTGACGACATTCTCGTCATTTTTTCCTCCGTCCGAAAATGGATCTCGTACACACCCATCGCACGGCTCCTCGCACAGAGACGATGGCAGGAATCGTTAGCGATAATCCTCGAAGGCCGTGGTTCGATGAGTTTTGAAACGAGTTAGAAAACTTTGCCAATCCTCGTGATTATAAATTGAAATCGTTTTCCTTGGATCCGTTTCTTCTTTCCTTCTTCCTTCTACGCAACTTGGAAAATCGATCTCGCAATTTTAATTTAATTTTTCTTCGACGAAAAGATTTCGATTATTGATCGGATCGGTGGTTTAATCAGGACGTGAAATCGATAGATAGGGTAGAAAGATTAAAAGATTCGATCAATTTTTTAGACGATCGTACAATCTCGGTTTGTGCTTTTCGAGAGAATTGAATTTCGTTGCCAATGTCTCGTTCGAAGATGGTGTGCGGTTTCGATGGTGTAAATGGTTGGTATACCGAGTCGTAATAGTCGTATAGTATACGACGCTGGGACGTGATAAGCAGAACCTTTATACATTTTAATGACGAAGTCATAAATTGCACCTTCGAGAGGCGTGCGTTGGGCTTTTTTCGAGCCTTATAGAGCCATCTGCAAGGTCGACTTTCTTTGTTGCGACCGGTGTGTCCGTTATTGGCGTTCGTATTAGCACATGAATAAGTCGGTGCCCGCTCGGTACGTGTTAAAAACAATGGTAAAAAGTTATCGTAGAATTTATTATCGTTGAATTTATTAACTTTAAAAATACGACAATTTTTTATCTCGGACCCAAACTTTCCATGGATCATGCGAACAATTCGAACATTTTTTTTTTTTAATTCCCGTCGTGGCCATTAAACGGGATAATACGTACGGGATGATTTTAATATAATAACACGCATAAGTTTTTTTTTTTTTTTTTTAATACGTAACGCATAACTTTCACTTTGTCCACTTGTATTCATGTTTCCATTATTGTTTTATTGCGACATTTTCTGGAAAAATCGCGATACCCTCCAGACAGTTTGTGAAAGACAATAGGCACATTCGTATTCCTTGTACGAGTATCGTCACACGCGTTACACACGAGTGGCCGTAATAAACAACATATTTAATCGAACGTTAGAAATCTTTCAAGTTTTCTTTTTTTAAATATCTTCCAAGTATCGAACGATACTTCGATACTTTCTTAATTCAGCGTCTACACACACGTTTCCTCTCTATATCCTTTCCAATTTTCACAAATTGCAAGAGACATTTCGAAGGAATATAATAATCTCGATTCGAGGAAGAGGAGAATCTCGAGATTGCCAATAAATCGCATATCAAAACGGAATCAACCCTTTCCGAACGTCAGAAATCTTCCAAGTTTTCTTTTTTTAAATATCTTCCAAGTATCGAACGATACTTCGATACTTTCTTAATTCAGCGTCTACACACACGTTTCCTCTCTATATCCTTTCCAATTTTCACAAATTGCAAGAGACATTTCGAAGGAATATAATAATCTCGATTCGAGGAAGAGGAGAATCTCGAGATTGCCAATAAATCGCATATCAAAACGGAATCAACCCTTTCCGAACGTCAGAAATCTTCCAAGTTTTCTTTTTTTAAATATCTTCCAAGTATCGAACGATACTTCGATACTTTCTTAATTCAGCGTCTACACACACGTTTCCTCTCTATATCCTTTCCAATTTTCACAAATTGCAAGAGACATTTCGAAGGAATATAATAATCTCGATTCGAGGAAGAGGAGAATCTCGAGATTGCCAATAAATCGCATATCAAAACGGAATCAACCCTTTCCGAACGTCAGAAATCTTCCAAGTTTTCTTTTTTTAAATATCTTCCAAGTATCGAACGATACTTCGATACTTTCTTAATTCAGCGTCTACACACACGTTTCCTCTCTATATCCTTTCCAATTTTCACAAATTGCAAGAGACATTTCGAAGGAATATAATAATCTCGATTCGAGGAAGAGGAGAATCTCGAGATTGCCAATAAATCGCATATCCAAACGGAATCAACCCTTTCCAAACGTTTCTTCCACCCGTTAAAATCCATTCCCATAGAATTTAGACGGTACATTTTAAGCAACACGAGTTGGCGTTTCGATCGGGCACATTTTGTAACCGCGGAACGTGATGCGCGAACGGGATTCCGTAAATCACCGACTCTCGAGAGGATTCTAGGGCATCGATGCTGCTTTACTCGCGTGTAACGTTACATCATTAATTTTTATGCTCTTGTCCGCGGAGAGATAGAGGGAGAGAGAAAGGCACGCGTGGGTGTAGAAAGGAGGGGGACAACCGTTCGTCGAAACGTTAATGGAAAAGTTGATGTACGCGCGAGAAGCAACTTGTTTATTAAAGTTTCACGCCTACCTTCCGTGTCCTCGGTGGACGAAGATGAAATGTGGTTAACGGCGAAGATCGTGTTGTTGCAGCGGGTTAGAAGATCGTTTTTCATAGAGGAGATCGATTACGCACGATTCTTCAATTAATCGTGGATTCTTTCTTTTTTTTTTCGTTTCGTCGATAGAAGATTTCCGATATTTTTCTTTTGTTGCAATTAACAAACAGTTAAAATGATTTGATTTTACGATTCTGCGAATTAATAAAGGAAGGATAAAGGATAAAGATTCGCTTTTTCCCAGAATGCGTTTCCGCGGTGGAGAAGATTGCGAAAGGAGTGGAATATTGTTCGTAAGGATCGAATTCACGCCGTGTGAAATATTATTGGAATATTTATGGGTGGGAAAGATCGAGCGAGAAACGGAGCTTATTATTTATTATTATCGACTGACCATCGAACGCTATATTTTATTTCTAATTTTTAAGAAAAAAAGTTTTATTATCAATGCTCTGTAAAATATAAATAGAAAATATAAAAAAATATTGGATAATAACATTATCGATCGAAAAATATATAAGCGGATCCCCGTTTTACAGATCAATCACGACTATACACGAGTACATGTAAATAAAACATTCCGAATGTCATAAAATTGATATTTACGTAACCAATAACTATAAAACGTTAACCATAAAACAAGCAACAAATGACCACGTCAACCATACGATTCGCCTCAAACATAAAATATCCTCGCAACATCTTTACTTACACCTCTACTGCTGCCATAATCGCAACGATATTTCCTCTATGTTACATCAAACTAATACGTTCATTCAAACTAATGTTCAATTCAATGGTTCACCTTCGATCAACGTCGCATAAACTCGATTATCGAATCGATCCATCTCTCGGTTTCTTTCCAACGTTGATCGATTCACGGAATCAACGGAAATTAGAAATCTCACACGATCCTCGCCACGCAACCGGCCGTAGAATTCGCAATGGACTCGCGCCGACACACCCTGTACATGCATTTATCCTCGATTGCGTTATGCAAGGGGATCCACACGCTGCTTTACGAGAAACGTTACTCACTCTTATTCTTATTAACTATTCTCCAACGATGCAGCTACGATATACGATCTCTCTCTCTCTCTCTCTCTCTCTCTCTTTCTTTCTCTCTCT